TAAAAACAGCAAGACTTATAATAATTTTTTTAAACAATTATGAGGAAACATTTCTGTGTCGTACTAATCCACTGGGTGGGTGACCTCATAAAAAGTTAAAACATATTCATGTTCATAAAAGCAATGGGTCGAATTAGAAAGGGTCAGATAAATACAACAAAAGTAGCAAATAAACATAACTCTCCATATCCATTTAGTTAATTCTATTCTTACAGAGCTTTTGTCTTATCGTTTGGCAATAGCCCTGTAGATTTACTCTGAAAACCACCCGAAGCATTCTAGAATCCAATGCTTTCGTTTTTCGAGCTAGGTTGTTTTTTCTAACTGACATCGAGATTATTGTAATTAATGGTTTAGCTCAGTGGCTAGAGCGTCAGGCCGCGAATGCCGAAGACGTGAGTTCGATTCCCACAGCGGCAACAATCTTTTCGTACTTTTTCTACATGTTTTAACGTCAAAGTTTTGTCATTTTTACGACGGTGAACTAACTGACAAAAGGTTTTTTTGTCAGTTAGTTCACAGTTAGTTAGTAGTTTTGTGTGACAAAATCTCCTAAGAAAACTAGCAATGTCCTTTAGCGGAATATGATGCAGGTTTCGATATTATGCACTGGATTTCACGACTATTCAATTATTTAAACTATATTTCTTAATAATCATTTTCCTTTCACTTTCATTCCTTTTACATCACATCTATGGTAACCTATAGTGACAATACGTTTTTTTTTCTTTCATTAGTTCTCATTTTTCATTAGTAACGTTAATGTTTTACTCAGAAAATGGCCTGATTATACCCTTGTTTCCAACAGAAAAAAGAAGAAAAAAAATAAATTTATTTATCAGAAAAAGGACGCGCACAAGAAAAAACTTAATTTAACAAAAAATAAAACTATTGTTTTAAGTAATAAATGCTACAGTAAAATTAAAATAAAATTAATATATATATATAACTGCTGTAAAATAAAACGAAAACAAAAAAAGCAACTAATACATACTACAATAATAATTAAATTAATAATTTTCCATAATATTGTAATCATATAAGTTATGCCATATACCTTAATCTCTCAATCACTGACTCAAATAAACTTTTCAAATCTTAAAATAAACTATGCAAATGTTAAAAGACAAATGAGATTGAAATAAAATAAAAGGAGAGCTTAATTAGTTACAACAAGAATAATAATACCGATCTCGTGAGGTTTAACGTTTAAGGTATAAAACCAAAACTTCCTTTAAAAAGACTCCCTTATTGTTCAGATTAAATTTTAAGAGTTTAATAAACGAGAAATTTTTACAATAAGCCAACTCGGGCAGGTAGAAATCCAAAGATGCAAATGTTATGAAAATAATTAAATTTGCTACTAAAATAGCGCTTAACTATATTTTTAGCGAAAAAAAATATTATTACAATTAATAATAAAGAACAAATATTATTAATTTAAAATAAATCTAACTTAGGCTCGATGAATTAAGCGGACCATTAGCGGGAGACAAAGAAGTACTTTTCGGTTCCATGGTTATTGAACGGTTCGTTGAGTGTTAAGAACAGAGTGATAGTTAACCGAAGTTTATATTATACTTAATTTTAATAAACCAATAGCTCATCTGAATTTACCTAAGAACTGCAGAAACCGGGCATAAGACGCATTAAATGTAGAGCGGGTGAAATCACGGATTAAGAACCAATCCTTACTAATAGTACGACGACCCAAATGTTGTAGTGGGTAGTGTACCTGCCTCCTGCGCCAGAGGGAGTGGGTTCGATCCCCACTACTGGAAAAATATGTTAAGAATATGATTTTTAGTCTTTATATATGTATTTTTCTAGTATGTTTATAGCTTACACAACATTTTCTAGTCCCAAACTAAGCAAAGCTTAGTTTGGGACTAGAAAATGTTGTGTACAAATGGGTTCTAAATATTTATTGAAATATTTATGTTACAAAGGCGAAAGTTTGTATGTATGGATGGATGTTTGTTACTCTTTCATGCAAATACTACTGAATAAATTTTAACGAAACTTTACAATAACATAGCTTATACATGCTAAGACATAGGCTATAATTTATATACGTATTTTATGTCTTTCTGTGTGAATGTTACGCCTTCAGCCTATTCTGCGCAGACGTAGTGGCGGGCAGCAGCTAGTTAGTCACAATGCTTCCTTTTGATGATCGTCCCACCAAAGTGAAGAAGGAATATGTCAAGAAAAAAATATTTTTGCCTCCTTCTTTGGTCGTTAAGGTCATTTTGCGACCGTTGTGCTGGAATATGAGAGGACAGTTAATGCAGACTGTATGTTAACTGTTGTCCGCCTGTTGTATTGGAAAATGTTCGACGGCAGCGCCCTCAAAGCAGGATCCTCCTTCACCATAATAACGCTACACAAAACGAACAATTGAATATTTGACTATGGCAGGTCTCCACCTGACGCCCTGTTGCTTTTATTTATTCTCAAGAATCGAGGATAAGCAAAACACGGCGAGTGCGTTCGAAAATGCCCCCTAAGGAAGAATGGCCTCAATGGTTCCATCGAATGCAAAGATGTATGAAGAGAAACGGAGACTACTTCGAACAGCAATTAAACAATTGGCAACATTTTACATTCTTCTTCTTCGAAGTATTATTGGCTTAACAACCCCTGGATATCATTGCGCATTCTCTTACACCAGTGACTGTTGCAGGAAGCACAGTTCTTCTAAATTAAAACTGTTAAAAAACATTGAATGCAAGTAATTCAATCATATCTTAAACAAAATTGACTTTGGCAAAAAACATTTGACCTTACTCATAATTTAAAAACATGTTGCAGATAATCTAAATTTTGTTAGTTTTATGAGTGTGTAATTACTATATATATATAGCTTTTTTAGTCCGAAAAACAGGGTTTAGTCGTTTTAATTGTTTTTCATTAACTGACTGACAATATAGGTAAATTGTTTAAAGAATGAATGGATAAAACATTTCATTATTAGTAACAATATATACGTGTTTTCAGTTATATATTATTTTAAACAAACATATGTTTTCATATCCAATATAAGGTTTTTTTTAAACAATAGTCCTACTAAAGACGCGCCCAAAGCCTCGCCCGTGTTTACTACATAAATAAACACAATATAAATTATAGCTTACGTGTTATCCTGATGAGCTATGGTAACATAGAATATTCCATCGAAAGCCGTTCAGTAATTTTACGTGTGAACAGCCATTACATTCTCTGTATACATTCTCACAAACTTTAAATTTTACAGTATTAGTAGGTTATAAAATGGCGCCAAATGCATAAATCGCCCGAGACGCAAGGCCGGCGCTACCTGCGGAACAAATGGGATCGCTCTTGTTATAACTTTGCGCAAAAACAAGTTCTAGTTGCTTTGAGTTATCAATATGATACTGTTTTTAAGAATTTTTGCTACGGTTGCTTATTTGCATTCTACTTGAGGCAAAATAACGGTGGTAGGGCCACGCAACAGTGTTCAAAGTGAAACAGTGAACACGCAGGTCCGTCCGGGTTAGTACCACGACCTCACAGAAGCCCGGCGTGGAGTAGAAGTGTTGCTTCTGCGTTTCGTCTGGTGAGTGAGGTAGCCGGGGTCCACTTTATTAAGGTGTGGCAACGCATCTGCAACCCCACGGGTGTTGGAAATGTCCATGGGCAGGCGATTATCGCTTAACATCAGGTGAACCGCCAGTTTGCCACTTTCTCACATTAAAAAAATTAAGCGTTCATATTGCTAGTTTAATGTTTGTATTAAAAATAAGAAGAGGAGCGGATGTGGTATTGTACATTTATAGTTTTCTATAAACTAATGAATATAAACTTACTTTGGAAATTCGAGAAGCTTTTCTCTCCAATCTAATATATAAAATTCTCGTGTCACGTTGTTTGTAATTGAACTCCTCAGAAACGGCTCGACCGATTTTCGTGAAATTTTTTGTGTCAAATATCGGCCAGCATCTATTTTTCCCCCTAAATGTTAAGGGTGGTCCACCCTTAACAGTTTTTCTACCATACAAATTCCCCAGAAATAATTTATATGGCAGAACAACGGCCGGGACAGCTAGTTTTTATATAGATATCTTGTAATGAATACTGTAATAATTTTAGACAATTAAACGTTTTGTATGCATAGCAAAATTAGGTATTTGTGTGACATGTAGTAAAATAATAACGATAAAAATGTTTCTAATAATCACGCTTATCGATGGTAACTTCCTGTTCTGTACAGTGATTTGCAATGATCACACTCCCAACAAAAATCATCATCAATCTAGGAACAGAACCTCGTTGAAATAGAAACATAGACACCGAAGGAAACCATAGAATCACGGGAGAGCGCAAACACTACAAAAAAGGGTCCACAAAAAAGGTTTATTGTTGATAGAAGTTTAAACAGTTATCAAAGAATATCTACGGCCCATCAGGATTAAAGACCCCAAGAAAAATAAACGTAGGGCTCATAGAGTTCATAGATTCTTTTAGCAGAAATTATAATTAATCACTTTATTTACCATCTCTATTATATACCAAAAATAAACAACAATATATTATAAACAAATAGAGAAAAGTTGAGGCAAACTTGTCTTTTTCTCCTGAAAGAAAGAAATGAAATTTCTGATCTCATCTTGTTAACCTTTTTATGTACCTGGTACATGCCACCTGATACATGTTTTTTTTTAATAGGCTCTTCCTGAACGTAACCCCTGATTTATACAAGTACATGGAAATGTATAAAAAGTAAGTGATTCAGCTTACGCGATTTTACGTCATGTACATATTGTGAGAAACATGCCATAAGTATTAAGACTAACTGTAAATCTAACTGAATGTCACTGATTTTGTATATTTATATGACATAAAAATAGAAAATAATTACCACTATACTATTATTAACACTAAACACTCATAAGTATTTTTAAAGGATAATCGTTCGGCTAGTATAAGAATTATATGCCTCGAGCCTCGTCGGCCACACTATCGGATTGAAACTCTAAATGCATATTCGCAACAGGACCCCAATCACATTGTCACAGGCTTTCGCTCAAGCCGCTCGCCCGGCGCGCATCACAACTAATACTCCGTTAAACTCCGCAAAGAAACAAGAGTGTATACAAATAAAGAAAATGAACTATAAAATATTGCTAACGTTCCTGTTAATTACAAAATCTACGGGAGGCTATGAAGAAGCTTACGTAAAGGCTGTTGACGACGATTATGATTCTATTAATATTGAAACAGGAGGCCTAGGGGATGATGGGGAATCCCCTCTTCGGAACAACTATAGTAGAGGACATGGACGCTCAAATTACAACAATCCCCTCGTCGATCTCATCACAAAGATAATAGGAAACGGATTCACGTCGAAGGGCTCCAATTTTTTTGACTTTCTGCAAGATCAGTACAATTTGCCCCGAGGTAAGTAGGCTGTTATTATTATTGCACATGTTGACATAGTTGAAAATAAAAGGCTTTTAAATGCAATGTGTCTCTTAAAACAAAGCAGTATAGTTTCTAATAAATATTTACTGCACGAGTGGTAAACTTAGTTTCAAGGCAAGCGACAAAAACTACGATGCAGAAATTTGATAAGTTCTTAGAAGTAGAACTCTAATAAAAACATTGTCATATCAAAATGTGTGATGTTTTTTTGCCATTTACTTACCAATCGATAGAACAAAAGATTTTATGTTCTACATAAATCTTTACGTAACATATAACTTATTACTTAAGTTTATATGGAAATTTAGAAAACCTTGTTTGTTTTATTCATTCTCGTTTAGTTTGTTGCCCTTAAAGGATGCTCTTACAGGAATTCTGCTCACTTATTGCTTTAAAACCCGTACTAACATCTCTAACGAATAACAAATTGACTTCAATATCTAGAACCAGTCAGGTAACATAAGAATACATACAAGTAAAAAATAATCGGTCAAAGAACTTTTGCCAAGATTTGTAATCATGTTATTAACGATCGTTCGAAATTACCAGGTAAAATGACGCTTATAATTTTTAATAAAAAGAATATTTTATTGGTCGAACAACAAAGGTTTTGAGATAACTGTTTTATTGTGCGTCATTTGGGAAAAGTCGCCATTGAATAAGCTGCAATCACAGAATTGATCTCGTATTAACCCCTAATACCTATTAGGCGGCAATAGATAGCCTATTGTTTCTAATATTACTATGCAGGGTTATTGATAATTCGACGTAGGTGACCCGTTAGGAGGTGATAGCGTTGACTATATGCAATATTTTTAAATTCCGATATGCATTATGCAAAAGTGAACCATTTTTGAGTGATCATGTTTGTGAGCTTTTTTCAAAATAAGACAAAAATGCAACATCAAAAATTTATTAAAAAAACTGGATCAATTAAAATCTCATTTTTCTTCTGATTTATTAAAACGATCAAACACTGGTTATTTATCAATATTAAAACATTAAACAAAATTTCATTTATCGTCTCGTATTTATATATTTGGACCGATAATTGTTGTTTTAATATTGTTAATTAACCAGCAGGTGTCTCAGGATCGTACGTGGCAGTCTATGGGGGCCTATGTGCTACAGTCTGAAATGATGATGATGAACCAGTGTTTGGTTTTTTTATAAATTATTGATGTTTTATTTTTGACCTTTTTCGATACAGCTAAAAAACACGATAACATAATGCATTATAAAATGGTTCACTATTGAATAATGCATATGGAGGTCATCACCCCTTAACGGAAATACGTCGAATTACCAATAACTTTTTATAATTATTAGTTATGTTATGTTTTTCTATAAATTATAACAATTTATAAATGTATAACTTTTGATTGTCATATCGTACACCTTTGGTTATTAGAATTTCTTTTATCAACGTTAATTTAAAATTAATGTAGTAAAAATAAAAAATTGTTCATTGCGATGACACGCATTTTCTTTTATCATGAAATATTATGATGAAATTCAATGATATTATATACCATAGAAATGTAATACGCATACGAAATCTATATATGTATACCATAGTGTTTCGATTTCCAAACAGAGTTGCAGCACACATTCACATGTTTTGTTTGAATGGTATAAAAAGGACAACTTAATTAAAGCAATAAGAATAAAGAGGAAGACCAGTGTTTGACACTTTTTAGTCCCCGTATTAAACTTATTCACTGCCTTTTTCTTTTATTGCCACATATCCCAATTGGGACGCTTACGTGGCTTCACTCTGGGCGTTAACAACATATCTATAGTATAAAATATAATTGATATAAGTATAACAATATCACATCGCCACTTTGTTGTGTCTCCTTTACTCTTGAGGATCAAGGCCGTATCGGCCTTGATCCTCAAAGGCTACCACTTCTTCATAATCTTCAGGAATTATTAAATCCAAGGTGGCCATTATTTTTGTTTTTTTTTTATTTTCCACCACAAGGTAGGTATATATAACCTGTTATAGTCATACTGTCAATTTCCAACGTCACACGTTATCAAAAAATATTTTCTGTGTTCCTAGTTATTTGTTTTGAATGTTGCACCGATATAAATTCAACTGATATTTGTATAATTTTCATAGATGAGTATAAACTTTGTTATAATTCTGCGATAGCTACACTCAATTAAACACATTTAGTGAAGAACCAAAACGTCCAACTGTTTCTCACGTTGCCCGTTTCAGAAAGATTTGACAACATTGTGTTGTATGGTGAACGTCCATTTTGTTAGCAAGTTTGCTAATTGCGATGAAATGCATGTAAAATATACCAAGCCGATATTAATTCGATGTGTATCCGTTATACTGATAATATGAGTACATACGCGTCTTTTTCTCTGTCTAGGTTACAAACGCCTTTGCCCGAGTATGATTTTGTGATTGTTGGCGCTGGCTCTGCGGGTAGTGTATTGGCGTCGAGGCTTACAGAAAACCGTAATGTCAGCGTGCTTCTCGTCGAGAGTGGGAAGCCGGAAATGTTGCTCACTGATATACCGGCCATAGCACCATTCTTCCAATCCACCGATTACGTATGGCATTATTATATGGAACCCCAAAAGGGTGTATGTTTAGGTGAGAATTAAAAATCACAATCAGCAAAGGTGATTGGCAAATCACCTTCGCTTAACATATAACGCTCGTCAGTTATGCATTACCAAACTTTGTATTAATAGGCCCTTTAAGCTCACTAGCCGCCCTCGCCGGCCATCACTACATATTGGGATGATTTCTTAACATCAAAGATCATAAATCTCATTCACAACACACATATTTTTAACTATTTTTTGCTTATTCTCTTCAGGCATGAAGAACGGACGTTGTTTTTGGCCCCGCGGAAACGCCGTGGGGGGTACCAGTGTGATTAACTACATGATCTACACCCGCGGCAGACCTCAAGATTGGGATCGAATAGCTGCTGCCGGCAACAATGGGTGGTAAGCATATGAACAGTCAGGGACACCCATCTAAACGAAAATTTCAAAAGACGAAACCATTTGTCTAAAGAATAATTGCCCTATGGCATTATACTAAAATTTCACCTTTTAAATAATGTTTTACTTAAAGGTGAAATTATAAAAGATTAAAGGAAAAACCTAATGAATACTTAGCGTTTCATAAGCAATGTCTGTCAGCAGAGTTAATAGAATAGACGCTGCCGCAGCAAGTTCTCTATATCTTAACTACATTTGTCAAAATGATCATACGTACTATAGAATTAGATTATTGCACCGTGATCCAAAACATTTATATACACTTAATACAACGAAGTTTCTAAAGTTCTTTCTTTCATGTTCTTTAATTTTATTAAAATACCGATATTAAAATTAATTTTTATTAAAAATTATTAGAAGAAAAATTATACCACATTTTATATTGGCTCCGATTCTTATTTCGTAACATAACAAATATCATAAATTTTTTAGAAAGTTAACTTATACTGTATGCAGTTATGTACAAACTGCGAGTTATTACAATAAAATATATTAACCGCTTGTTTGACGTTGCAATGGCAAATGCCAGGAAACGTACTTGACCTGTAAAAAAATAAGAAAACTCGTTTATAAAATGACGGTCATTTTATATACGGCTTTGCTTTTTCTTATGTGTAAAATTCTAAATCGAGCAGTCAATTTAATTAGGAGCAATTGATGTTAAGGGATTACCGCCGCCCATGGTCAGCTATAACACCCGAGGGCTTGCCGATGCGATAAAAATACTTAATTTTAAATTTCTTGCCTCTACATTTAAGATGAAACTAAAAAAATGTGAAGATAAAACGGTCACAAAATTTTCATCCGCTGCCAGGAATCCGATCTGCGCATTCCGGATAATGTGTCCAGATGCTCTTGTTACTTTTAAAAATCGCGAAAGTATTATACTACTACTTCATCCTGGGCTTCTATAAAGCTATGGTAATTCCCCGGACGAGCATTCCATTCGTGTAGCTACAGAAGATGATGCGTGGCCCAACCGCAGTAAGCCAATGATATAAATTATCGGACGAGTGCAGAAAACTTACTTTTTGGTCTCGTCTCTAAATTAGTATCTACTGTTAGACGGTGGTTGCAGTAAACGAAATCAACATGTTGTTGTACGTATATTTATCAAATGATGTCTCTTTTCAAAAGTTATAAAACATATCACTTGCTATTTATGACGTTTTCTTTGCTTTCAGGTCTTACAATGACGTTCTGAAATATTACAAGAAAATGGAAAAGGCCGATTTGAAGGGTTACGAGAAAGCCTATCACAGAGGTCGAGATGGAGAATTGCCCGTAGAGTTTGTTGCAAAAAAGTAAGAATTTGTTAACTACTAAATGAAATTAGAACTTTCATATGTAATATTTAAAGACAAGCAATTACAGGAAGGTTGACTATGATAATAAATGAGATCCTGATACACGGAGTGGACATCATTGTAACATTCTAACAATTCAACCACAGTTCTCGAAATTTAAGATTGAATAATGTATAATATAATTATTATCAAAATGTTAAAGAATGTTCTTAAATAATAGCTTTGCCTAGGTGGCACGAAAATATAATTTAATAAAACCCTTTTATTAGTCCCCTATCACGACCTAATACTACGTAGGTGCCGTCACCTGCAGACCCTTTTTTTACGTGGAAAAATCCTTTATGGATCCCCTGCCACCGGATTGCGCGTAATTTTGTTTGCCCATTGAATAATAAGTAATTTACTTCAGAATCGATTTTCGTTAACTCCATAATCTAATGTAAATCCTTCCATTAACGTATTTCAAATGATCTAGCAAGCGCTGAATGATAACGGTAACTATTTAGTACCGTTCTTACCAGAATAAACTTTGGCAAGTCTGGGAAGTACCACGGCCTCACATGATAATACTAGTATGTAGTAGACTTATCATACTTTAGCGTTCCGTCTGGTATAGGGTAACCGGGGCTCACTTTTTTAAGGGTTGTCAACAAATCTGTAAGCGCTTAGCTATTGTAAATGTCCATGCTTAGCTATTGTTAAGATCACGTGAACCGTCTGCTCCCATGACAACTTTTCCTTTAAAAAAAGTAAACTAAATTAGGATCAAGTACTTGTCCACCAAATCAATTAACTCCACCAGTCACATAAAAATTGTTATATTACTGACGATATTATTTTGGCTATTATTTTTTATTAATTGCCATTACGTTAGTTACGTGAAATGTTACTTGCATTTCTGCATTCTACAATATATTTTTGAATTAATTAAATTAATTAAAAAAACAATGTTTACATCGTGTTTCTGAACTTTTTGTTTTATGGAGTTACTGGATTTGTATTCTTTATTCTTTATTTGCATTCCACAATGTAGCTTAGGTGTACACTGAATGGCTCATATTATCGTAATCTGAAAACAAGATTTTTAACTAAACTCATTAAATTTTTCTTTTTTTTTTTTTTTTTTTTTTAACTTTCTTTCGTTTAAGAATAACTCGTGTCTTTTGTGACTTTTCATTTCAGAACAAAACTCCTTAACGCCTTTTTAGAGGCCGGTAGGATACTTGGACATCCGACAGTTGATTACAACGCTCCCGAAACGCTCGGATTTGGAAAAGTTCAAGTGACTATGAGCGGTGGTCGTAGACAGAGTGCAGCTAAAGCATTTCTACATACTCACAAGAACAGACCAAATCTGCATATTATACCCGAAAGTAGGGTGACAAAGGTTCTTATTGATCCTCATACTAAAATAGCTTACGGCATTGAATACATACGGAATAACGTTTTACGCAGTGTAACTGTTCGAAAAGAAGTTATATTATCGGCGGGACCTATTGCATCCCCGCAGTTATTAATGCTGTCCGGAATAGGGCCCAAGGAAAACTTAAATTCGGTGGGCATTAATGTCATTAATGATCTTCCAGTGGGCAAAACTCTATACGACCATATTTGCTTCCCGGGACTTGTATTTACGCTCAACGAAACAAATATAAGCTTCCTCGAAGCGAAGGCGACCAATATTCACTCAATAACAGAATGGCTAAGAAACGGAGATAACGAAATATCATCACCTGGTGGTGTGGAAGGAATAGGTTATATCAAAACTCCTGTTTCCGAAGATCCAGAGTTGGTGCCCGATATTGAGCTCATAAGTATTGGGGGTTCTATCGTGTCAGACGGTGGACCGGGCGGGAGTAAAGCTGTTCGTAGAGGAATGAGAATTACAGATGACGTCTTTGATAGAGCTTTCGGAGCAATAGATGACACAGACACTTGGAGTGCGTTTCCAATGCTGCTGAAACCAAAGTCTTTCGGTTATCTCGAGTTAAAGGACAACAATCCGTTCAGCCATCCTAGACTTTACGGAAACTATTTGACGGATCCACGCGATGTGGCCACATTTGTAGCAGCAATTCGGCACGTCCAGGCGTTGGCCAAGACGGCACCCTTCCAAAAGTTTGGGGCAAAGATACACCAAGCAAAATATCCGGCGTGCCTCTCACTTCAATTTGACTCCGACGAATACTGGGAATGTGCGGTGCGTACGCTAACTGCAACGTTACATCACCAAGTGGCCACCTGTCGAATGGGTCCAGAAGGGGATCCCCTTGCAGTGGTAGATCCCGAGTTGCGAGTACATGGTATGAAAATGTTGCGTGTCGTTGACACGGGGATTATTCCGAGCCCAACGTCCGCTCACACTAATGCACCTGGAATGATGATAGGTGAAAAAGCTGCCGATATGATTAAGTCTTTCTGGAACATTTAATTAATAATTATTTATTTTATGCTATATATTCTGTTAATAAAATGGTGTAATAAAAACATATACAACCCGGAAGATGGTGAACACAATCGATTAGAAAAAGACTTTCCACTTTTGCCTTGGATAAACCAAAGTCTAGCTTTATTTGATTGAAAGTTTTTAAGGATTAATTGTAATAACATTCCTAAGCTAACGGTACGGTTATTGGAGAAAATGTATTTAAAAATATAGAAAAATTAAAACATTGCTTAAGTTGAGAGAAATCATTAAACTGTAGTATGATAAGAGTGATGTATGATTACTTCATGTTTTGATAAAAATAAAAAAAATAATCATAAAAATACCTTTTCCTAATCATCATCCTACAGCTCTTATCTCACCTTGGTAGGGCTCGACATAAGTACAGCGTTATAGTAAATTCATCAGCAACATCAGCCTGCAATGTCGACTGTATCAGTGCTCAAAACGTGCTGCGTGATAGAGATCGCAATCCAGAGTAAAACAAAGGTAAATGGGTCAGCCACATAGCTCGTAGAACTAATGTTTATACCTTTTAATAAAATATAAAAGTTTATTATAGTTAATATATAATTTTACTTTTTAATATTATATTATTTTATGATAATTATAAACATCTTTAAATTCAATTTTTTTTCTTATGTGAAAAGTTGCCAAACGAGCAGAAGGTTCACCTGATGTTAAGTGAAAACCGCCACCCATGGACATCTGCTACAGCCGAGGGTATGCAGATGAGTTGACAACCTTTTTGGAAAGTGGGCTCCGGCCACCTCACTCAACGGACGAAACGCGAAAGTATTATACTTCCACTTTACGCCGGTCTTCTGTGAGGTCGTGGTACCTACCCGAATGAGCCTGCCCATTCGTGCAACAGCCGAGGCTGCTGCGTGGCCCTACCACCGTGGATGCAATTACCTTTAAGACAATCGTATATCATTTTATCCAACCATTTCTGTAGAGAACAGCAAATTAAAAATTTACCTTGAATAAAATCTTTAATCGATAGCAGATAAAACAAGTATTTAACCAACCTCCTTAGAACGGCATTAAATTGTATTTACAAACAGTAAATTGATATTTATTTTATTAATATAACTCTGTCCATAAATTAATGAAGCATTACATTCTTCCTAATGCGTGTGTTTAATAAAAGAGCAAGAAACTTTGTGCTCTTATAAAAAAGATTGCAAATATTAATCTACTGAAGATTATTTGAAGATTTCGTCTTTGGTAAAACTATTTTATTAGTTTTACCAAAGAAATCTTCAAACTTCAAGATAACAACATGAGTAACAATTGCGCTTCATCTTGCATAATTATTTTGACATTGTGCATTTCCGTTGGTTATATTATAAACCGGTACCGGTTTGTACTTAATTAAAGTTTAAATAAAACATAAGAACTTGTCGCAGCTATATATAGTTCTGAACTTGGAAGTTAATTACCACAATTTTCAGTTCAACGTTTTCATGCTCGATCCAAAGGAGCAAGAACTTAAACCGGTCCGAGATATTATCGTAAAACTTGTGGTTAGAAACGTTGTCTTAACGCTTAAGGGATCATATCATCCGAGTGTGAGGCGCGGCAAGGTAGCTTCGGTTTAAAGTTGGTCTTTGATATGAAACAAACAATATTTATTGTTTTCTTAATAAGTCGTTGTGGGTTTTCTTTAAGTGATCATAGTGAGTTTGAAGATGATGAAGCGACGGTGGAGATTGACGAAAGTCTGTTTGCTCATCCCCATTCGTGTGACCAACGCTGCGAGAAAGAAACGACAAGGAGGAAAAAAGACTTGAATAGAGCTACTCCACCTGAAAACAGTTTGGTTATAGAAGCGATGTTGAAAACGCCGATGCTGCTAATGCATCAGTCAGATTCGGATATACTTTCAATATTGAGGGATCGCTACGATTTACCAAAAGGTAAGATCAATTAGACCACTTTAGGAATGCACTAAATTTACTACAACGCTACTGTACTTAACTGAGGGGGAACAAAAAGACATTTCTTTTATTTTATTTTTTTGCGAGAATTGGCAAACGAGGGGGTGGTGATTTTAAGTGATAACCAATGCCCATGTACATTTACAAGATCCAATCGCCTCAATGAGGTATATTATATAGTAGCTGTACCATACCAGACGGACAAAGACGCGAATGTACAATTCATTCAATTAACGACGGTATATATTATATGCTATTATCTATACTCCATTTTAAAAAGAAAAACATTTTTTATCGAAAAACCATTATATCATTTAGATGTTTGTAAAGCTTTCACATGTATACTCCACACACTTATCTAATGTTTCTTCAAGAAAACTAAAGTTAAATAAACTTTTCAAGCATTAAATGTATTACATAGAGCCGCATATTGAAATACACAAAGGCGAAAGAGAAACAAAAGACCCAAAACAAAGTACATTTTTTCTAAAACATTAAGTGTTATTCGAGTTAGTAGTAGTTATTTATCGCGTAATCACGATAGTCGTGCCTGATGGATTGGTGGCAATTCAGCAGAAGATACTAAACGCCTGAGTCCACGACAGCTTCTACTCTTGCACAAATGGACAGACACGTCCGAGTGAGTACCACGACCAAACAAGACCAACGTGAAGTTATACTTTTTTTTATACGATAAGTTGTCAAACGAGCAGACGGTTCACCGGATGTTAAGTGAATACCGCCGCCCATGGACATCTGCTACACCCGAGAGGACCAGATGCGTTGACAACCTTTTGAAAATTGGGCTTCGTTCTTTTGCGTTTCGTCCGTTCAATTAGCTGGGTCCACCGTTTTTAAGGGCAGCGCATCTGCAACCCATGTGCTGTACTCGATGTTCACGGACAGCATCAATCACTTAACATCAGTTGAACCGCCTGCACGCTAACCAACGTATTTAAAAAAAAACTTACTTTTGCACGGAAAACAACAAGCAAGAAGGTTACCTGATGATAAGCGATCCTTCACCCATGGACATTACCAACGCGAGAGAAGTTGCAATAGCGCTTCTAACATAAAGGTGTAAAAGAAGCATTCTTTGTCACCTTTGTTATTTTACCTAAGTGGTGTCGGTTTGTCGTTGCCTCGACACCGTACGAGTAAAACCGAGTTTCAACAAGCCGGAGCCCCATTTTAACATAAAACTTTGGAGGCAAAAGCCGCATTGTTCTCGCGCCTAAAATACACACATGTCTGCATATTATGCAGTAAAGGAACAGGGTCAATAACGCCTCTGAACTGTACAGGTTCAATGACCTTCGCGCGTCTTTTTTTATACTATAATCGCCGTTTAAATTTTACATTTACCGTTATAAGAACACAAGTAGCCATACTCGTTGAGCAACTTAACATTCCTTCAAAACGCTACGTAAATTATAATATATGAAATAAAACGCAAGCATAGTTTATAAATAGAAATAAAAGTAATCATGATTAACATATATATTTCTTCATAAATTATGATTAATTTGATATGAATTTAATATAATTTTAATACTATTATAAATTAAATTATAAATACATATTATACTAAATACGATACAGTTGCGGTTTTAGGAACTAATTTATTGAAATATATTAGTTCTTAGAAATCACGACTGTACATAAATTATCTTAAAAAGCCAATGTCAAGTGGGACAAAAATCAAGTTATTTTGAAATATCACAAAACATCAAAAAGATTTTTCTTTTGATTGTTTTACGATATTGAAATTCTTATAAAATATACCTCACACTCGAGTGCTATTCGGCAAAATAATACAATGCTGGCATTAGTGATGTTCCGGATACCTGTATCCGTATCCAGGGATATCCGCCAGAAAAAAAGATCTGTATTCGTATCCGTGTCCGTTACATTTTTGACGGATCTTTAACCTTATTAATTTTAAAACATAGATTCAATTCTGCATTTAGGTGATTATTTAGCAACAAAATATTCAATTTAAAACAAATAATTTGTTTATTTCTAAAAATCAAATATGTAGTCTTTGTCGTAACATTAATCGTAGTAAATTGACATACCAATATAACATAGCTTAGAACTAAATCAAATACCTGTCTAATATATACTTAAATATTTACTACAATATTTATTTAAATCTTGAAGAAACAGATTGCTAAGTAGCAGGTTATATAAAGAAAAAAAAATATTTAAATCATGTTATAAAAAGTTATATGATCACTTTTGTAATAAAATCTTTATAATGTTTTAAATTGTAATTAAATGATTGTTCTAATTAAGTAACTTAATACAATGTGACACTCAAAGAGTCAACTTTAGATCAAAACCACAGTGACAGTTAAAGGAAAGGTAAATTGTACTTCAAAAAGAGCAACTTGAAAGCTTTATCCCTAAAAAGTGATGATAAAAGATAAATATTTGCAAGCATGACCGAGACCTCAATTTGTTTTACTATTAATCTGCCAATACTAATCGATCTTAAAGTATAAAGAATATAAGCAAATAAGTTTTCATATAATAAAATATTTTATTTTCATCACCATTCATTCTTCATTTTCCAAAGCTGCAAAGAATGTTACTATTATTTTTTTATGAGAAAACCACTGAATAATTTAACTTTGACCATCTACAGATGTGGTTACTAGAAACAATTTCTGAAAAACGTCAAAAATGTAATCATGAGTCTACGATCCAAGATGACAACATACGATCAAGCACATTTGCTTATGCACACTAATTCCTCTTCCACTTAAAGACCTATGGTTATGTTTTAACAAATTGTATTTGTGGTAATGAATTGCTATTGTAATTGTGATAATGAATGTAATGAAATCATAAATAGGGTCTCGTTTTACCCTTTGGGTACGGAACCCTAAACATCTTTGAGTAATAATAATTATATATAAATGTTATTTAATAGGGTCTCGTTTTACCCTTTGGGTACGGAACCCTAAACATCTTTGAGTAATAATAATTATATATAAATGTTATTTATATGACTCCGCTGTCTGTCTGTCTGTCTCTCTGACTGCCTGTTTGTCTTTCCTTCTGTCGAAACGAGTGGTATAAAGTTAAGCTTTTATTTTATAAAACAACTTTCGTTTCAAAAATTCTTATAAATAATTAAAACATGTAGAAAAATACGACAAGATTGTCGTCGCTGTGGGAATTTATAAAAAGCAATGGCGACATCTCCCGTTCGAATTATCGTTGTAAAACGATTTCGAAATTGTTTGTATGCTGGAAAGGATATAACAATAGATGCGCCAAGCATTGCTTCAAATGCTAAATAACAATGTAGAAAGAAGGCGTTAAGATTTTCGTCGTTGTGGCAATCAGCCGTTTAGCTTAGTGGCTAGAGCGTCAGGCCGCGAATGCCGAAGACGTGGGTTCGATTCCCACAGCGGCGACAACCTTTTCGTACTTTTTCTACATGTTTTAATGTTTAATCTTAAGTGCAGAGATTTAACACTATAAAAAACTTTAAAATCTTATAAATAATCTTTAATAAGGCCATCTATTGGCAATTTTTGAAATGAATGATAGCGAAGTAGACTGTTACAAATAATCATATCAGCGTTGGGTTGTTGACACAATACTGTGCGAAAATTACGGACGGGTCTCCTATTTATTTTAAAATTCATTCTTAAACTTGCTAACCTGGGCCTGAATTTCAGGTTTTAAGACGCCTCTAGTGGAGTACGACTTTATCGTAGTCGGTGCGGGATCTGCTGGCAGCGTACTCGCCGCGCGACTGAGTGAGAGCAGGAAGGCCTCCGTTCTTCTGCTAGAAGCTGGGCAGGAGGAGTCTGTGTTCACTAGCGTGCCAGTGCTCGCACCGCTATTTCAACGCACGGACTACGTTTGGCCTTACTTAATGGAACACCAACCAGGCGTTTGCATGGGTAAAATAAAGTGACAGCCTTTATATGTCTGTGTCTCAGTACTGGGAAAAGGCCTCCTCTGTACAGAGGGTATTAGGACGTAGACCCCAACGTAGATTGGCAGACTTCACATATCTTCGAAATATATGTAGATATTTCTTATTAATAAAGTAAATTTCCTGACGATGTTTTCCTTCACCGCCGAGTACATGACGGGTCATAAAAATATTAATTTCATTGGTGCCACGTCCGGGTTGCTCGAGTATAGAATACTAAATAAACGAGCGCCAGAACAATCACGGACTACAAATCAGTTTATTGTAATTGTGTAAAAGATAGACTTAAAACAGTTGAGATCAGACTTCCTACTTAAGCCAAGCCCGTCGTTAAAAAAATGATAGACGTCGAGGTTCGTGGGTTCGACACGGGACAAGTATTTGTGTGATTAATAGATAATTGTTCCGAATCTAGGTGGTTTCCCAAGGAGGGTTGACGTCGGACAGGCGTCCGGTTGTGAGGAATATATTGGCTATATTTTTATCGCATACAACATGATTCACATGATGTGCCGACCGTACTTATGTGAGATAAGGGCAGGAGGATGATAATGATGATTCATATACGTTCTAAATTTTTAGTTTTAGACAGAAGTCATTGATGGTTACAGACCCATCAAAGCGTGTCGGACAAAACTATGTAATGGTGTCTTATTTAAAGTATCATGAATCCCTCTATGCAATTAAATACAACCTGGTTATTTTCATTTGGCTTTATGTTCTTTCATCATCAATGGACTTTCATTACTGAAAATTTACACTTCAAATTCGTCTACGCAGCATGTTACGAATTTACTGACTTAACTTTTAAAACAGTAGAAAATTTTGGATTACCCATTTGCCTCATGAGTTAATATGTTGACATGACTAACTCGCATTATCACAAATGCATTAAAAGTCCATAAAGATACACATAATTTTAATTCACGCATAATTTTACAGGGATGGAAGACGAAAGATGTTACTGGCCTCGAGGGAAGGCGGTGGGAGGCTCGAGTGTGGTCAACTACATGATCTACACGAGGGGCTTACCCGAGGACTGGAATAGAATCGCGGCTCAGGGAAATTACGGCTGGTAGGTACGATAATTTTAAACACAGATCTATTTACAGTCGCAGAATAATTACTTCAATATTATAATATGAATGTGTCTTTTACATTGCATAGTTAGCGTTAAATTTTGTAATAACTTCGTACGAAAATAAAACTGATAATGATGATAAAAATAAAACATTTGCGTAACTACCTTCTCGATTTGGACTACTTATGAAGCACGATTAAATCAGTTCGTGAACGACATTTATGCGTTTATAATCTCAAGTCCAATTGATCAACTATTCATAATCAGACGATGTGACGTCACTTAATAGCTTTACAATAGATCTAAGATAAATATTAACGTCTTCTCGAGCGAAAGATTCAGGATAATTTTAAAACTGTGGTAAATTGAGATTCTTCTTTCTGTTCTTGAGTTTCTTGTTTCCCGCGATTAGCGCGCGCAGCATGCGTCACCCGATGATAATCGCGGATCGCGATTAAGATTCATCGGGTATTACACATTACAATCGATTCCAATTTGAATTCATCAATTCATTCAAAACCACAATTTTGAAATTATACGAAATGATTTGCATGGCATAGCTTTAAAAAAACTCTAACATATTTGTAGTAATCGGGCGCTAATGTCGACCAGCCTATAAATTTCTATTTCCAATACTATAAATTTCTTAGCTTCTAAATTATATAAGGTTTGATAATTACCTAACCCCCTTATTTTCAATCTTGATTCCATATTGAACCTACCAGGTCTACGCAAGGGTTCGAACCCACAATCTCAAGATAGGCCTTTGACAAAACCTTAATGGCCACAAAAATTATAGATATACCAATGATATGTCTATTAATACGTTCTTCCATTAGTGCTTTGAGTGGTTTGACCCATAATTCAACTCGGTTTACACACATTCCGTCATGCTGTTCATAGCTCATGAAGATTGATAAAATGAAAAATAGAAGTTACTTTATACTTTACATTTATATATTTAGTGAACGTGATTTATAATGAAAAACCGGCCAAGTGCGAGTCAGACTCGCGCACGAAGGTTTCTGTACATTATCTATTAAAAACCGCAAAATCATGTCCGTTGTATGAGCGCCCCACTAATTTTTTTTTATTGTTTTTTTAGTATTTGTTGCTATAGGTATATTGTAGTGCTTCCTTGGCTCACACCAACTCCAAAAATAACAATAAATGTAACTATTATTATATTATCGTAATAATTTGATTGACTTTTCATTAGTAAATAGCTGAACAGATCGTAGCTACATATAGATGAGTAGAAAAAGTAAGTTCATTCAACTTGTAGAAGAATACTCAATATTTTTTTAACTGTTTAGTGCATATTTATTTGTTTTTTTTTGCAGTCGGTTTTTTTTTTGGAAAATGTTTTGTTTATTATTTTTTGGGTACGGAACCCAAAAAGTTTGATTGAAAAATTTTTGCTATGACTTCGATTGTTATTCGATTGTGATGCATCCTGCATGATAGTAAAAGTAAACTTAAGTAAAGTAACAGAGTATACATGACCAACGCCATGCTGGCCTCCTCTGTACCGAGCGTGTCATTACGCGGCCCCACTGCGGATTGGCGGACTTCTGTTTTGTTATTATTCCGAAAATATGCAGATTTCCTCACGTTTTTCTTCACTGAGCACGTGATAAGTCAAAACTTAAAATTAACATTTCATTGGTTCCGCCACCGAGGATCGAACTCAGGCTGCTCGAGTATATTGATTTAAAGCCGAGCGCCCGGACACTAAGCTATAATGGCTCTTCTAGAGTGACAGTATGTCTCAGTGTCCACGCCTTTTTACATTACTTACATTGACTTTTAATTACATTCACGTATAATCGAATCAAAAATCAAATGAAATCAAAATATATTTATCCACGCTCTTTTCAAACTTCAAAATTTTACGTAAAATTCATACATTCGTAAGTTACCACCGGTTCGGAAAGCAGCTTCTGTTGTGAAGAAACCGGCAAACTCAACTCAACAGTTGCTCTTTTTTAAAACGATTAGTTTACAATATAATATGATAGGTATAAGTCTTATTTTAGCGTACATGAGTATCAACAATATTAACCCCACACATTGGCGTCGTCAAGATATTCCGCAAGGGTATAATGTCTTAACTTATTCACTTTTAATTTTGCGTTTAAATTGATCTAGTGGCATACTAAATTACGACTGTGGGATTTTATTACACATGCGCACACTTCGCCCCATGAACGACTTCTTTACTTTTTGCACACGAAACAATGGCGTTGTTATATTGTCCTTATTTCTAGTATTCTATTTATGTCTGTCACTATTCTTTAGGTAACAATTAAGATGTCTAACATACAAAATATTACAAATAATATACAGAACCATTCAAATTGTTACCTAATTGCAATTTTAAGTTCCGACTTATCAAGTTCTTAGTGGCCAACGAAAACATCGAAGGAATACATACGTATTTTCGATCTAAAAAACATATATTTCTAAGATATGTGAAGTCTGCTAATCCGCTGTGGCGTTTCCCTAGCAGTGGGACATGTAGTATAATCTATTAATTTTAATTATATAATTTTATTTCGGTTATATTAAGACTATAAATTATTAATTCTGTATATGGTTAATAAACGTTTATAATATTCAACTACAGGTCCTACGAAGAAGTGCTGCCGTACTACATAAAGACCGAACGCGCAAATCTGAAAGGTCTATCGGACTCACCGTGGCATGGAAAGGACGGCGAACTCACTGTTGAATATGTCCCATTTAGGTATTTTACTTTTTTTTAGGTAATTATATGATGAAGATGTTGATGATTATTCCGATCGATTTCGGTCATGGCGACCTCTTCAGCTCCTAATTGGTTTGGCGCTGATGCGCCCGAAAATGGCTTATATAAACAATCTTAGCAGCAAACTCTTGTGTATAGTGAGGACTCGTGAGTACGGCTCCTACATAGTTGTACGTAATAGCGGCGGCTGGAAGTGCTTTTAGGTTTACGAGTTACAGGTTTATAGGAACGCGAATCGGGCGTCAATTTCATACATCCTATGAAATTGACGCCCGATTCGCGTTTGTTAACCGCTGCCTATAGACATCCGAAAAACCAATGGACATGCAGTTGCGTTGTCAAATCTTAAGAAGTTGGCACAGTTTACCTCATTGATGAAACAGAATAAAAAATCAAAAAATACTTATACATTTTATTTTGATTGCTCCCGTGGAAGATTGGCGTCAGGCAGGCAGCAGGGATTTCGTAAAAACCTAGCCAATACCTATAAGGACATGATTCTAAAATCATCAATTAAAAAATGTTAAAATCTCTTTGGTGCGGCTATTTAAGGCGATGCTCTTTTTTTTATTTCAGATCGAAATTATCGAAGGCGCTCCTGGATGCAGCGAAGTTGTTAGGGCATCGGAGGGTCGACTACAACAGCCCGGATGGATTCGGTTTCAATTACATCCAAGCAACCATGAATCGAGGAATTCGTATGAGCAGCGCGAAAGCATTCCTACATAATCACAAGAATCGCAGAAACTTGCACATACTGCCGAACAGTCGAGTGACAAAAGTATTGATAGACCCTAATACAAAGACGGCGCAGGGTGTAGAATTTTACAGGGACGGTCGTTTGTACGAAATACGGGCAAAAAAAGAAGTCATCCTATCAGCGGGTCCCATTGAGTCCCCACATTTATTAATGCTATCCGGCATTGGTCCCAAAATCCACTTAGAATCGTTTGGTATACAAGTAATAAAGGATTTGAAAGTCGGAGAGAGTCTGTATGATCACATATCCTTTCCCGCTTTAACGTTTACTCTCAACACTACTAGGTTGACCATCGCAGAGAGAAACATAGGTACAATACAGAATGCTATGTCATTGATGCAATTCGGCGATGGCCCAATGACATCGCTTGCTGGCGTCGAAACATTAGGTTACATGAAAACGAGCGTATCAGATGAAGTTGGTGAATATCCGGACGTCGAAATTTTGGGCGCGTGCGCCTCCCTGGCAACAGATAATGGTAAATTCGTAGCGAAAGGTATAAAAATGGCCGATTGGCTGTACAACGACGTGTACAGGCCAATCGAAAATATCGAGAGTTTCACTGTCTTCATGATGCTCCTGCACCCGAAATCGAAAGGTCACTTGAAACTTAAATCGAAGGACCCTTTCGAGCAGCCGGCACTGAACGGCAACTACTTACAACACCCGAAGGACGTCGCAACAATAATAGCTGCCATCAGGCACATAGAAAAACTAGTAGGTACGACGCCCTTCCAAAAGTACGGAGCGACAATCTACAAGAGAAAGTTCCCGAATTGTAAGCAGTTCACGTTCGGTACAGACGCTTACTGGGAGTGCGCGGTGCGGACCGTCACTGCGACGTTGCATCACCAAATAGCAACCTGCAAAATGGGCCCAACAACGGACCCTTACGCCGTCGTGGACCCAGAGTTGAGGGTATACGGTGTGAGGAATCTTCGTGTGGTGGACAGCAGCATCATACCGCAAACAACGGCGGCGCATACCAATGCCCCCGCTATCATGATAGGAGAGAAAGGCGCTCATATGATTAAGAGTACTTGGGGGATTGATTAAGTATGCCAAAAGATCAACAAAAAATTACAGATAGTTTTTACCAAAATAGATTGTTCGTTCGTTAATAAGGATAAAATAAGGACAGCCAAATAGGGAATAGTAAGAACGAACAATCTATTTTGGTAAAAACTACAATGTTAACTGTGTTTGGGTGTATGTTTTTATAACAGAAGAGAAGACAAACAAGCCGGCAGTTAAATTTGATGATCCGTGACTACCGCTGCCATAAATTCCTATGGGATTATAGTGCATCCTTTTATAGACCTTTATAAAAGTACAAAAGAATACTGTTTTGCAGAAGAAGAATACTGAGTTGCAGATGCTTTGCTACCTTTTAATAAAATGGGCATCGGCTACCTAACTTCTACTTCACACTGGTCTTCTGTAAGGCCGTGGTACTACAATCAAAAGCCTCTGTGCTTTGGTTTAAAAAAATGGAGTTTGGATATAAATATATCTGCACTCTATCCGAAACAGAGTAGCTATAATTTTAATTTCCTATAAAATATTAAATTTAAAAATCAGATTCCGTAATAAGCAGATTAATAGAGCGGGAATAAGAAATTAAGAACATGAACAACAATTGACCTAACAAGCCAGTAAAGAACGGAAGATTTAACCAAGGAACCAATTGGCTTAAATATCTCAGCGACTAAGATAGCATGAATGAGACGTCTACTGGAACATACTCGTACATACGACTCGAATGCAGCGAGACAAGCTCTATCAAGTAGTAAAAAATGTGGGTAGATTATTTAAAATCTCATTGTTAAAATTAAAGAATAAAAATTACAACTTATTTATTAACACGATAAAATAATACAAGTTGTTGATATCTGTTGGCTCCACGCTACGCTAACATGTCCTGCGGATTCTAATTACGATTTACAATTTAAAATTACAGCATTTGCCCAGTCGACATCTTAGATATTCATAAAACAAATAACGATCTAGCAACGCGCCCTAGCTTCGCACGTGTACAATGTAAATACTAATGTGAGGCAGTGTTGGGTGATTAATAATATTATGATTATGATTAGTCTATACTGCAGGATATCTTTATATAGAGTATTTACAGCTTTTTTTTCATGAGACAGTTCAAACATGTTTTCTTTAGAGATTACTATCGAAAGCGCGTTATTGTCAACGCCTGCTAACCGGACTGACACCGACATACTACCGGGCAAACGCTCTGTCCCCACTTTTTAAATATCTGATTTCATCTAAGATATTTATTTTAATGATGAATGAATGAATGATTGAATATTCTTTATTGCACACACCATGGTAAAAAAGAATACATTAAAAATAATATATATATAATAATAAGGGAAAACCCTTACATAATTGTACAAACAATGGGTTGCCTTATTTCTTAAAGCAATTTCTTCCAAGCAACCTGCTACATGAAATGTACAACGTATCCAATGTATTTAATTCGATAAGGAATATTGAATTTTGAATTGAATATTGCATTATTTAAAATAGCTTAGTAAATAACCCATAATATATTCATAATATGTAAAAGATAAAAATGGTTACTGTGGGTGATCCTTAGGAGGTAAATATACCACTGCGGACGTTTTTATCTTTTAAGATACACAATTCCGTAGTACATTAATTCAATCTATCTCCTAAGCTTTAGCCAGTGTATGCAATATAACCGCAAAAAAAATATGTTTGTTACTAAATCACATTAGAAATTTTTAAATTTCTCGGCTTTTCTTTACTACAATACGAATGTACATATAAACCTTCCTCTTGAAACACTATCTAAAGCTGAAAAGTGCATTAAAATCCATTACGTAGTTCATAAGATCCAAGCGTTAAGTGAATAAGTAATTCTTATGTTCTTACACGTGCTCAAACGTTGGAGAGCAACGAGAGGAAACCTACATATTTTCGAAATAATAAAAAAAAACAATTCAAAAATATGTGAAGTCCGCAAATCCGCAGTGGGGACATATGGTAGGTGGACCACGTCTTAACTTCCATTGTACACAGGAGGCCTTTGCCCAGCAGTGGGACATATATAGGCTATTACTTAATTTACTTTAATAAATCTGCTCATACTCGTCTACTACGATGATCAAGAGGCATGTACTATGAGATTTTCGGTGTAGTCATATCATAGTAAAAGAAAATATCCTAAGACTTGATTTTGCCTTATTTACCGTACGAGTCGTCACACGAGACAACCACCATTTTATTTATGCAAAGTTCCATAAACGGATACGTCAATTTTGTAGATACGGCGTTTTAAGTTGTTGATGTTCCTGATGATTGGTTTTCAATTACCTACATTCGGAGTTGAAGTACCTTTCTTGTTCTTCTCTCTTCTTCAATTCTTAGGGATAACATAGTACAGTATTGTTAGGGATAACTATTGATGCAAACCTCCAATGGGTATCCCCATATATCTTCTCTGTCAGGGAGGCTTATCTCGACTGCATATGCAGTTAGAAAGTTTCGACAGTTAACTGACGAAGCAACAGCCAGATTAGTTTATTTTAGCTAGTTTCATAGCATTGTCTTATGGTATCCTGCTATGGGGGAGAGCTGTTAGAGCAATTTATCAACTTCGCTGTACGGACTCGCTTAAAAAAATATTTAAGAGGATACAGATTTTCACGATTCCATGTCAATATATTTTTGCAAATATTATGTATGTTAGAAAAAATATCCATTAGTTTATTAAATATTCTGATATTCATGACCGTAATACAAAAAATAAGAATAATTTAGTTCTTCCTCGCTGTAGACTAGCTAAGGTTAGTAATTCATTCACGGGGCTCTGTGTTCGCTACTACAACAAAATTCCTGATGTTTTTATAAATCTACCGGACAAAAAGTTCAAATTTATTGTAAAGCAGACACTGTTTAAAAAATCTTACTATAAGTAAAATGATTATTTAAATGACAAAAAGGCTTGGTGTTCCGATACTCCAGCACGGCATGAGATATATATAAGACAAATTATAAGACGTCGAAAATCGGCTTATCTTACTTTTAAAAAATGATTTTGATTGATTTGATGATTGGAAGTAAAAACGAAGAAACTTTATTCCTGATCGGTGTTTCACGACCGCGCGCGTTTTTTTTTTTTTAAATATATTAAAGAACAAAATTCAAGTCGTCAGAAACTATTTAAAATGGCGGGTTCGCATAACGATCGATGTTCAAAGCGTCCCGTCAAACGGTGAACCCCAAACTCGTATCTCGGCACCCCTTTTTGTTGCACAGAACTTTGTTATAATAGAACAACGTAAAATTAAAACTGTATTGTTTAAAATAAATTTTAATATCAAGCAAAACAAATCGAACAGATTTCAAAAACAATTGAATCTTAAACAAATACCTATCGTTTAAAGGTGTTACTCTCTACAGTGATAATCTCTCAAATATAATTGAAATATAATGCCAATAAACTCTCGATAAACAATAACTTTTAAGTTTCGATCAGATTAATATTCTACGTCTACAAACAAAGTTTTGACTTTCTATGATGAAAATTGATCGTAATAATTATTATATTAATTATTAGTACCCGGAGGAACGAGCTTTGCTCGGTTTGTTTTTTTTTGGTAAATCGTGTGTTTTGGAAATTACATTTAGATACAAATTACTGAGTAATGAAATATGCATAATATTTTTCGATCTTACCGACGTAATAACAAGAAAATATGAACTAATGTTTTTCACAAAAGAATGAACTTTAAAAAAAAAAGGGAAAAAAATAACAAAATAACAAATCGACAAAAAATTAAATATAAAGAAAGCAATGATCTGGAATCGAAAAAAAGTAAAAAAAAAAAAATAAATGTGTAAATGATCGTGACACGTACCACGGCCTTCTGTTTCAGGGCCGCCCTATTACCGACCGAGCTATTATAACATTTTTTTTTGCGGCGAAATTTACCGTCGTATTCGAATGATATTTTTCATTCCCAGAAAACAGGGATAAAAGGACATTTTCTAAAAATGAAACCTAGCTAGATCGATTTTTCGCCCCCGAATCTACGCACATACTAAATTTCATGAAAATCGCTGGAGCCGTTTCCGAGATTCCGATTATATATATATACACGAATTGCTCGTTTAAAGGATAAGATATTTGCGGTTATTCAGACAGAACTGGTTTCCCCTTTAAAAAAGAATTAGCTCCTGATCACTCACATTACTAACAGTTTACGTGAATTTATAGTAGCTTTTCCTTATCGCGCTTAAGTCACAACTTATATATTGTAACCCATCTCACTTAATCGCGATAATAAAGAGGAGTACAGCTTAGCTAAAATGATTCCAGTTAACTCAGTTGAAAAACAACAGACCCGGATATGCATGAAGTTAGTCCGATTAGTAAAAACCTTGAAACGCGCTTTAAATGTTTACGCGTTGTATGATAAGTTCTGCGGTTCCTACTACGGCATTCATTCAAATGAAGCAAGCAATGGGCGTGCGTAAGACTCGAATCTTAAAATAGAGATCACTATCGAGTTTTATTGAAAGTACATCGAGTAATATATATAGTACTTATCATTCCCGTATAAAATCTTAACTATGATCAATAATAAAAAAGTTTATTCGTGTCAATACAACCATTCATCAACGAACCGTCATCAAAACATTGGATATCAGTAAACGGAAAACACAGTACCTGAAACTATAAGCGCCTCATTGGGCCCAACAGTGTGAATATTGCCCATATTCTTCACGTAGCACCAAGCACAAAAACAAAACACTAAAGAATATTTATTAAATTACCCCGCGAAATTAATTAATACCAAAAACAAAACTGATATAGAATGACAGTATTATGGAAGCTGCATTAATCCAAAAATAATAAGATAAATGTGATCACAGATATTCACATAAGCACCTAAAGGTTGTTTTAATAATTACAATCGTATGTCAGTGAGATCACTCACACCAGTTGTCAGAAAAATTCATTCAATAATCATGCGCGCGCATGACGTTTTTGCTTATATCCTCCTAAAAAAAACCCTTAAGAAAGCGCATTAACACATATAAAACAGAACAAGCTGTAAGTTATTATATAATGTTGTTTTCAAACTGAAATTGTAACAGTTTTTTTATTAATTTATAAAATAAATGCATCAAAATACTTCTTTCTGTAAATTGACATGTTTTGATAGACAATACCAATAGACATTAGACACACACAGATCACAGAAGCAGAAGGAAGTCTAAACATGATTTTTTTTCATTCTTTACGTTTCTTACAAACACAACAAGATTAGACGATATTGTTATAAGATTATTTGATCGTAAATTTTTTTTCTGAATAGAAATATACAATAATCTTTGTATATAGTATGTATTTAAATTTAGGGAAAGTAATGTGATATTTTCTTCATAAAAATGGACGCTTGACTATAAATTGAAATTCAAATACATTATTATAGAGAAAGATGGCGATGTATTATATAAATTTGGAAAGAAAATATTTAAATATACTTTTCAATAAGTATACTGAAAAAAAATTCCGTAATAATAAGCATTAATTTACTTTACTGTCTACTACGTAACTAGTGCCTAGTCTACCACAACCATAAACAAGGCCATTGAGTTTAAGGAGTCTATGACACGAACAATTTGTGATTGTTTGTAATATAATTTTTAATTTAAAACTAATGCTAATACCAACTAATAGTTTAAACTATTAATAAATAAGCTGTCTCAGTAAGTATGAACATGATACAATTCAATGCACTATTATACGTCTCAAAATCCTACGGCGAATTGACGCATTGTTACAAATATCTGAAATCCTTGTATATATGTTATATACCCTCCAATTCAGTGTTTGAATTTTTATTTCAGTATTTTCACAGTTAAACCCATATAACATGTCTGATACTAGTGATTTGGATCGTCAAATAGAACAATTGAAAAGATGCGAGATAATAATGGAGGCTGAGGTTAAAGCACTCTGCGCGAAAGCCCGTGAGATCCTTGTAGAGGAAAGTAATGTACAACGGGTTGATTCTCCAGTAACGGTACTCATAAATTACTTAATTCACCCATCTTTTAACAAAATTGTTTCATGAGTCATTATACATCATGTAACTTTTAATTTAGGTTAACTGTGAAAACAATGTTAATTTAAATCTATTGAGATAATAAAAAATTTTGTTATCACTAGACCAACCATGGTGTATATGGACACTTTGATCTGACTATTAATGTCTAACAGCTATGATTAATTTGTCAGTAAAAAAAAGTAACTAGTGTAATGAATAACATTGTCTGTAAACAAATACACATAGTTGTTACATATGTTTTAGGTTTGTGGTGATATTCATGGGCAGTTTTATGATCTGAAAGAACTGTTTAAAGTGGGTGGTGATGTACCTGAGACAAATTATCTGTTCATGGGTGATTTTGTTGATAGAGGATTTTATTCTGTGGAAACATTTTTACTACTATTAGCTTTAAAGGTAAACTTATTTGCATTTTTTTTTTCCGTTCATTTTTCATTCTATATTGATTACTTAATGAAAAAATTACAGTTGTTTACAGTTTACAGTTGCAACTAACAACTTTTTTTTAGTAAAGGGATTGTTTCTAGAATTTTTAAAACTAAATATAAATTTTCACCACAGGTTCGTTATCCAGACCGTATCACACTAATCCGGGGCAATCACGAATCCCGTCAGATCACTCAAGTGTATGGTTTTTACGATGAATGCCTGAGAAAATATGGATCGATAACAGTGTGGAGGTAAAAAATATTTACTCAATGAAATACTTGGGGGTATAGGCTACCTTACATTCTATGTATTGATGATTAATGATTTCAGTTTTGCTTCCTGAAATGAAGTCATAAATCCAATCTGGGGAAATACAGGGGACTAAATATTAAAAATTTAAATTTTCAACATAGGTATTTCTTTGACTTTCTGTTTTCTCTTAATAACATTTATTTTCTAGGTACTGCACAGAGATTTTTGATTATCTTTCCCTCTCTGCCATTATTGATGGTCGGATATTCTGTGTTCATGGTGGTCTGAGCCCATCAATACAGACTCTTGATCAAATACGCACAATTGACCGCAAACAAGAAGTTCCTCATGATGGACCTATGTGTGATTTACTGTGGAGTGACCCTGAAGGTAAACAAATATAAAAATATATTTTAGGGCATTTTTTAGCAATGTTCTATTTTCAAACTATACTAAAAATACTTTCTTTTTGCAAATAAATTTTAAAAGGGGTATAAGCAATTTTTTTTTTTACATTAGAAGGTGGTAAACAAGCTGGCGGTTCAGCTGATGTTAAGTGATAACTGCCGTCCATTGCCATTTGCAACACCCGTAGGGTTTATAATTCAATGCCACCTTTTAATAAAGTGGGCCCCGGCTACCTCACTCACCAGGTGAAACAGAAGTGTAACATTTCCACTTCACGCTGGTCTTCTGTAAGGTTGTTCTATGAACCTGGAAGAACCTGTCCATTCTAACCGATGTGAGGCCCTACCACATATTGCTGATTTGAATTTCACCATCGAAGTTCGGCACAACTCGAACTCGCCAACTAGCATCGGCACCACCTTGATGTTTGGCGGTCCACCACTGCGCAATTTTTACGCGATTTTCTCCCCCACGTGACTACTTTGTGGAACCATTCAGGAACCCGCCCATTCATACAACAGAGAAGACGATTGCGTGTCCCACAATATTTTTCTAGCAGTGGGGATCAAACCCACAACACAGCCACTGGCATAAGAGACAAGTTCACTTTGCATGATGCCAATTGGTTGTAAATATTATTTGTATAATTTTTTATAGAACTTGCTTAAAATACTTGCATATCAAAATACTTTGGTATAATTCATGTAAATTTAGATATATGGATCAAAAGGTTTGGTTTATTCAAGTTGAAATTAGTCCATTGCTAGTTTTGAAATTGGCCAGCACTCTACTCAATTTATCTAGGATCATGAAATAAAAACCTTAAAAGACTACCAAGTAAAAACCTTTTCCCTCTTTATGTTATTTAGTGTATTCATTAAAACCAAAAATTACACTGACAAATTGTTTCACATCAATGCTTCGATGCATTGAACTGCAGTTATTAAATATTGTCAACCTTGATTACATATTTCCATAGTTTTTAGGGTTTTAGGCAACATTCCATGGTTTTTAGGGTTCCGTACCCAAAGGGTAAAATGGGACCCAATTACTTAAACTCCACTATATGTCTGTTTGTCATGAGTATATATACTCATGAACCTTTGTAATTAGAAAGTTGAAATTTTCACAGATCATGTATTTCTGTTGCTGCTACAAACACATACAAATACTAAAAAACAGAATAGAAAATATTTGATTGAGGCTCCCATACAACAGACATGATTTTTTTTTGTTTTTATAGATGGGGAAGGGTACAGAACCCTTTGTGAGCGAGTCCAACTCGCTCTAGGCCCGGTTTTTTGTAATACTGAAATTACTACTTGATTAGGTTACAGGATTGCCTTGCTATGTCAACGAACTACAGGCTTCTATTTAATGCTTAATTGTGGCATCCAGATACTCAAGGCTGGGGCGTTTCACCACGTGGAGCGGGCTACCTCTTTGGCTCGGATGTTGTTGCCCAATTTAATGTATCCAATGATATTGACATGATATGCCGCGCCCACCAACTTGTCATGGAAGGCTACAAATGGCACTTTAATGAAACTGTATTAACTGTATGGTCGGCACCCAACTATTGCTACAGGTTGGTACATTTGTGTTATTTAAAGACAAGATCCCTAATAAATAAGATGATTCATTCACCTGATGGTAAATGTTTACTAAATTTCTTGGTAGTAAAAATATAAGTATTTATACCTTACATTGATGTTCTGTGAATCACCATTATGACCTTATTATTTATTATTATGACCTGATTATACCTTACATTGATGGTCTGTGAATCACCATTATGTTCATGGTCAACATTACCTATTAACGAAACAGCGGATTGCTGCCTTAAAAGTAGCACAAGTGCATTTAAAAACCCACAAAATATGGTGTTCAAGTAGAACCTAAAACTTAAAGAATACCCAAATGAAATCTATCTATTAATTATCCTATTATATTTAAATTGCATAATTAAATTTCAACTACTTACACAGATGTGGCAATGTGGCAGCAATTTTAGAACTAAATGAAAATCTTCAGCGTGAGTTTACCATATTTGAAGCTGCACCCCAGGAATCTAGAGGTGTACCTTCAAAGAAGCCTCAAGCAGACTACTTCTTATAATGTTCCATGCCATAGACAATAGAAGGAAGTAATGAACAAAGTCTAGAATTACAGTTTTAATGTAGTGAACATTTGTGGAGTTTCGTTCATTGTGATGTTAAGACTGTTAAGTGTCCTTTTGAATTTGTTTATGAGACCAACATATTGTGTTTATATTCAATAATAATTTGTATGTACTCAATGCTGACACTGATTGATGAAGTAAGTTTTTCTTTAACCTTATATTATAGGAATTGAAAACATTTATTTTATACATTATTATATCTATTAATTTTCATAGTACCAACATACACAAATTGTGAAATTCACAAGACTTAAATTGTTTTCTTAATTGTAATATATTATTAAAAATTGATTTTTTCCTTAAATTCATTTCTGCAGATGCACCAAAGCAAATGTATTTTTTTTTATAATAAATAATAATAATGATAGTGTAATCTGATTTAGAATATTAAGTAAAAATGAATATGAGAAGCATTGTGAATCTTATCACTGCCATAAATTTAAATACTTCATTCTCGGCTACAGAATAATGTACTAGCATATAAATAATGCATATGATGCATGCCTGTATATGAAAAGATGCATAAAAATTTCATAGGAAATCTGTTGTAATATTTTAATTCATTTAATACATATTATGGCAATCCTCTCCAGCTCTTGATCATTGAACTTCACATGAAAAGAAACCCAATTTTGACAAAAATATTACACTTACTTGTTAATGGAAACACATTTGACAACAAAGCTGTGTGGCTTTACACAAACTCTTAGTACAAAATAGAGTTATAATTAGAAATAAATATTTATTGCTATAATATGTATTTTATTGGCTACCTTAATATCATTAGCCTACAGGTGTCCTTGTTATCTGACTACTAAATAATTATGTACATCAATAATGTCTAAAGTTAATACTTATAAAGATAAAAAAATTAACATAATACTGAAATAGGCAAACATTTAATTTGCAAGCATATTAAACAAAATCAATACTGTCATTGAAAAAACCTGATGGTATAATGTGAACTATTACTACCATCATTAAACATATAACATCAGCTAACTCTTGATCCTTCTTATCCGCATTTAAAAAAATTTTAAATTGAAATCAAACAATGTGGTGGGAATTCTTAAATCTATTGTTATGAAGAATTATTATTGTAATGTTTGAAATTTTAAATGATCTTGTACGCTTTAAAGTAAGATTGGTAGATGTCTGTAGATTGGAATAAATGGTTCTAGTAGTGTGTGTGGTCTTACTAGAGGTGTTGATGTCTTACTTTATCTTGTTCCATAATTAAAAAAAAAAAAAAAAAAAAACAAGTTATATTTTTAACATTAATTTCTTATTTAACAATTTAATTCATCTTTGTAGTATTTTCTCAATTCTTGTGTATTGCAAAAATACATTTTAAGCTTGATTAGTAAAATCCAATTACTTGAGTATGACACTAATGATTTTCATAATGATGTATTGGATTAATAATTTATTTATTAAATTTAGATATAGCACAACTTCAAATGGTACATGTTCTAAAACAAAAAAAATAATGCTGTTTCATCTTAAGAAAAATATTTGGTGCCTTCATTTTTGTATATTTTTCTCAGATCTGGCTGTATAACATAAATAGTTCATTGACTTTATAATTATGAACTGCCAAGCTTAACAAATATTTCTCAAATACGATCTCAAGATGACTTAATATTCTTTATAAACTTTTCAAACATTTTGAGTGTAGAAAGTTTTATTTTGCAGTTATAGGTAAAAGTTGTTGCAATAATGTTAAGATACTCTGCATATTACAATAGCCTAAATTAAAATAAAAACACTGACCATCTCTAAAATTGTAAAGATGATAAAAGATAGGTTTGACTTTTCCAGCCTTAAATCAGTGCTATCAAGTTTCAACTTTTATATTAAAGTAAATGAATACAAAATGACATTTTAAATGTATTTTATTTAAACCAAACAGCCAAAACATTTAATAAAATATATTATTTTTCTATGTTACAGGTGTCAACAATTTAATATTATAGAGGTAGCTTAAATTCATACAAAATTGTCAAATGATTCAGATTTCTTTACATAGATCTGTCAATATATCACTACATTTTGTAGACACTTTAATATCTGCAATGTTATCTGCTCTAGTGGGTCCAATGTTCAAAATAGCAACTTCTTTATTCTCCTCTTTTGCTTGTAATATTATTCTGTAACTTGAATACACAGTGAGACTAGAACCCAAAACAAATATTGCATTGCTATTACTAACCTCCTTTCGAATTATTTCCACTCTATGTTTTGGAACATTGTCACCGAAGAATACTATGTCAGGTTTCAGAGGTCCTTCACATTCAGGACATAATGGTACTTTAAACTTTTCAATTTGGTCCTGAAAAAAATATAATTAGATAATCATGTTTTACTTTGTATAGTTAGCAAACTAATTTTTGATAATTTAATTTTTTATAAACTTTTTGCATTTTTAAGTTCTTTGATTAAAATTCCAGATATCCTAAATGATGCTTTGGGTAAAATTTAGAAACGAGTCGCCTTCGTAGGGGGTCCGTGGGTGGGGGGAGGGGGTTTGATGTGGTTTCTCACCACATCAAACCCCCTCCCCCCACCCAATGCTTTTCTTAGATTTCTTTAAAACTAAAGTTACCATCTTCTTTTTGTGCCTTTGTATTCACTACTACCTTTACTAATGACTTGTGAAATGTATTTAAACTATCAACTATATTTTAACATCCCATTACAGTTGCAATATATTGTCAAAACATACCCTTGATAGTTCAACATCACCATCTGGTCTAATCATTGTTATAGTGCTCTTCATGTCTTGGTTCTCTTTCATGATCTTGTCCTGTAATTCTGACCTCTCAACCTCATAGGGACAATGTAAACATTTGACTATATACCCCGATCCATGCAGTTCTATAATGTTATTTGAACCTGCTTTGTGATGTAACCTATCAACATTTTGGGTAACTATTGCAGTAACTTTTTTTGCCTAGAAATAAAAAGATTTATGTAAATCTTCAAGGGATATAAACATTAAAATTTTAACTTAAATGTAAAGCAAAAATTATTTATTAATCTACATGCGGACCACACATAAATTATCCTGTACACAAAACTTAAATCCGACCACAATTTATAAATAAAAAAATTGTGAATTAAACCATTCTGAAATTGACCAAAAGACAAAAAATTTCATTGAAATTGGTCCAGCCGTTTAGAAGTTCAGTGACATACACACATACCGAAGAATTACATATATGTAATAATTTTTACAATTGCCATAAATTAAAATACATACCTCCAAAGTTCCAAGCCAAGTATGTATCTTGGAAACCTTGTATTGTATGTGATACAATACAAGGTTTCGAGAATAAATAAAAGGAATGTAATTACTTAAAAGTACTAATTAATAAAAACTTAAGATTTAATATTTTTTCAAAAGGAATATACATTTTTTGGGGTTGTACATTTATGTTCCACTACAACATATTTTCTCCTTATATGTAAATTTTGTTCTACTTATATAGAAAGTTTTTTTTACCTTCTCTAATTCTCGTATAGCATAATGTGTTGCATTTGGTAGCACTGTACTGAATCGTGGCCAGCCAACGAAATTCCTTGCCCAATATCTTTGCCTGACTTTAGCATATTTTATAAACTCTTGGTATTGCACTGGTTTATGATTGCTTCTAGCATATAGACCAACATCTTCTGATCGGTAGTCAGGTATTCCTTAAAATTAAGCAACTGCTGATTTTAGAATTCAATTAAGCAATTTTCCATCACAAGGAACTTTAAGAAATGTAGTTTAGATAAACATGCTCTGATAAAAGATAACGTTAAATAGTGTGTGCACTCATTGTGGTTAGGTCTTCATTTTGCAATCGTAAATGAATGTGTATTTATTAAAGAAATAATATGAACAATTTTATTAATAAAATCATTATTACGTAGTTGCTTAGTCCACCTACGAACCAGATTCTGTCGAAATACCAGCACCAGTGAGTATCAAGATGTTCTGGTGCCTTTTTATAAAATAACGAATTGTATCAAAATCTTTATCATTCGGAGGTTTATATGCAGGAACAAAAGCTGTGTGCCTCGTAGACATTGGTATTGGTACTACTCGCTTGTACCTAATTATATTAGGCTTATTAACTAAAAAACAGAAATTAGTCATAGAAAAAGCCATTAGAAATTCAAAAATAAAATGATTTAGTATAATAAATAAATGTTTTGTGCACAAAGACGATTAGCTAGTAAAACTATTTTAGTTTCTAACAGATATAAATATAAAAGTATTTTCAGCTACATAAAAGTACTCTTTGGTTTCTACTTTCTAATGTCAAGTTGTCAAGAACTTCCATTGAGAACTTCAAGAAGACATTGACATTTAGCCTTGACTTTTTTTGTAATGAAAATGAATGAATTACTTTCGACATATATGGAGAATAAATTATAGATATCGGACTGACTTGGGACTGCTGACTGACGCTAGGGATGTCCGTCCGACTCCGATATAAGTAAATACAAGTAAGTACTCGATACTTTTGTTTCGACACCAAGTACTTTTCGTACTAACTACGGATTGAATCAACCTTTCGAGACTTGGTACCGAAACGAAAGTATTTGATATCGAATCGAATCAGACTGACCGAAATAAATGTTATGATACAAAAAATTAAAAAACCCGACTGCATTTCTGTGCAATATGGAAATGATTTTGATATATCCAGTGTCATTCTCACAGTAAACAGGAATCTAACGACACCTCTCAATTTTAAATCCATCAAGCCGTTCAGGCTGCAGAGCGTGCCAAACAGATCCGGTGCCCTCTGCGCCCGCAAATGCGTCGCCTCCAGCGACAGCAAAATGCCCGTCGCGTCGACTTTCGCCGACGCGATCTTAGCCATCCCGCCTTCCGCGCATCCCATTTCGGCCCCCTTCCGTGCCGTCGTTCCCGACTCACAATCGGACGGCGGTTCAGACATGTAGATCGAAACGACCCCGCTGATAACGCGAACGCCGACGGCTTCACCGTCGTAAAGTCGCGTAAGAAGGGCAAAAAACGCCACCGCCTCCAATAATAATTCAAGAAATGGCAAAGTGGCATCAAGTATGTTCGTGGTTCGAACGCCACAACATCCGTGACCCCCGTTCAAATAACACGCATATGGGTATCCGCGTATACCTAGATACAACGGATGATTTCCGCCGCGTAACAAAGTACTTATGCGAAAATAAGGTAGGTTTCCATACCTACTCTTTGTCCGAAGAGCGAAAACTTCGGGTAGGAATAAAGGGCGTCCCCAAAGAGTCGGATGTCGATAAGGCCAAGATCGACATCCGCACTCAGGGATACCCTGTCCATGCAGTCAGACGCCTCAGGCACCCTCGAACCCGTGTGCCTATGGACATGGTCATGGTTGAACTTGACCCTACCCCGGAAGGTAAGCCCATCTTCAATCTGAAGAGGGTCAGTGGGCTCAGCGACCGCGTAATCGAGCCCCCGCGAAAATCAGGCGTTGTGGCACAGTGCCACAACTGTCAACATTATGGCCACACGGCCAACAATTGTTTCGCTCACCCTAGGTGCGTCAAATGCACCGGTGACCACGGCACGCCCGAGTGCACGCAGCCAAAAGATTGCGCAGATCCACCGGACTGCGCAAACTACCACACTACCAGCCATCCGGCTAGTTACAAAGGCTTCGCTAAGGCCCCGAAAATTCCCGCGAGAAAATCTCCCGCGGAAACAACATTGCCCAAACCCGCGCCCGTGAAATACATTCCCGCGCCCGCACCCGTCGTCAACGCCTGGGCGAAACCCCAGGTGGCCGCGCAGGTAGTCGCACCCCCGGTCGCGTCACGACCAACTTTAGCCCAATCGCAGCCCTCCATTCAACAGGCACCGAGGCCGCAGGTGCAGTCGACACCACCGGTATTCACCGAAAACAAAGACGACCTATTCGCACAAATCGCAAATATCTGCGGCTTATTAGACCGCATTAATAGACAAGAGCTCGCCGTATTGTCCGCTAAAATAGTGGCGTCCACATCTGACACCTAGCGATTCAAAGCCATTAGCGAACATAAAACGCTTGTAGAAGCTCTCTGGGCATTTACAAGCCAACCATAAAATCTATCGTCTGGGCAATAAAACCGCGCTCCGCCGCATCGTTAGTTAGAAATCATAGAAAAACTTTTCTGGAAAGTACAACCGCAGCTAGAACAAAACCTCGGACTCTGGTTGTTTTGTATTTCAAAGCCGTTTGCTTTAAGGGTCAAAAGGACGAAATCGCAGATTTCCTTCGCTATTATTATAATAGTAGATATGTTTCTAGTGCAAGAGACCTTCTTAAAACCTAGCGTACGCGATCCCAGGATCGCAAACTATATCATAGTCCGCCGCGACCGGTTAGCAAACCATCTAGGAGGCACTTTAATGTACTACAAACGGTCCTTGCACTGTTGCCCACTCACCATTCCAGAGCTAAGCTGTAAGGGATTTCGCAGTAAAATTCGGTGCACTGAGGTTAACAGTTCTTTATTTGAAACAAAGGACAAATACAATAAAAACTCAGGACAGTTATGTGGACACAGTGAACGTAAGCAGAGCGCGCGTACCGAAAAAAAGAAGAAGCTTTTGACAGACAGTACCGAAACTGTATAAAATAAAATTGCAATGCGTCGCCTACATAAGCTATATATAGGCATCCGCGTGTAGGTTAGCGTTCACCGGCCATAGGCCGCTTGTACTAGTCTCAGCCTCTCGGGGAATAAAACCTTCTTACAAAGCTACCTAGATACGCTAATCAACTTAGGCCCTTCCGTGATAATTGCAGGAGATCTAAACTGCAAATACGGCTCATGGTACATCCACAGCATCCCAAATAACAACGGAAAGCATCTCTTTAGCTTATCCGATAATTTAAACTTTAGCATAATTGCTCCTGCGACTCCCACTGGGTATCCTACGGTGGACAACTACCAACACGCGACACCGAGTATCCTAGATATCATGTTATTCAAGGAGGTCTCGCTCGACATCGAGTCGATAAAGACAATCCATGAACTAGATTCAGATCACAGGCCCGTCCTGTGTAAACTGGCCAGAACGCCGGCGCGGTCCCTCCAAACAAATCCGTAGTGGACTGGCATCGTCTCGGAACGGACGGTGAGACTGTCAGGCGATCGACGGTTTAACTTTCCGCCCGATCTGCGACTGCTAATTAGACAGAAAAATGCAGCCAAACGCGCTTTCGACAGATGCCGATCGGAATCGAACCGAACCTTACTTCGACGCCTTCAGCTAGAAGTCAAAGATCGTGTATCGGAACTTACCACCGACATACCACGTGGGACACTCTCCTAGAGGACATCGAGCAATTGCACACCACCTACTGGCGGTTGGCCCGCAGTCTGAAAGTAAACCCCCGCGAATCTCTACCGCCATTATTTAGACTAGATGACCCGGAAAAAGCCGAATGCCTTGCGGACAACCTAGAGCAGCAATGTACGCCATCGCGCGAACTTACGGATACAGCCCACCTAACGGAGGTGGACCACGTAATTGAGATTAGGGCTGCGCTTCCACCGGAAGGCGATCCTTTGAGTTCAGTGAGCCTCGAAGAGGTCAAAGACATTAAATCAAAAACTTAAAACGCAAATCCGCCCAGGGCCCAGATAATATTAGTAACAAAATTCTTAAAGCTCTCCCTGGGCCGCTTATCTGTTTACTGGCGACCATTTTCAATAGTTTACTCTCCAGCTGCTCCTTTCCGGACGACTGGAAAGAAGCCACGGTTATCGGCATTCGCAAGCCGAAAAAACCAGCAAACCAGCCCTCTAGTTATCATCCCATCAGCCTCCTCAGTTGCCTGGGGAAGCTCTACGAGCAGTTTCTATTAAACAGACTCAAAGAGCACGTGTTTCCCAACGGCCTTCTGCCGGCGGAACAATTCGGCTTTTGAGCTAGAAATTCCTGTCCCGATCAATTATTCCGCCTAACGGAATATATTCTAAAAGGCCTAAAGCACCCTAAACATATTAGTACAGGGGCTCTTTTCTTCGATGTCGCAAAAGCATTCGACAAAGTCTGGCACAACGGCTTGCTTTACAAGCTGTATACACTCAAAGTGCCAGATAGGCTCGTACACACCATCCGGGCGTTCCTGTCGAACCGCTCTTTTCGATATCGAGTTGAAGGCACCCTCTCCACAAGCCGCCGCCTCACGGCCGGCGCACCGCAAGGCTCCTGCCTCTCACCTTTGTTCTTTACGCTCTACACGGGCGATATACCTAAAGACCCCCACGTCAATCTCGCGCTTTTCGCGGATGACACGGCGCTCTTTTATTCAGACCGCAACCTCAGTCAACTAACCACTCGACTCCAAAGCGACGCCGACCGCCTCGGCGATTTGTTCCACAAATGGAGAATAGAAGTCAATCCCGAAAAGAGTGTGGCGATTCACTTCACATGAAGTACTTAACCGTCACATTTTTATAAAGGCTCTCGCCAATGAAGAAAGTTGGGACATTTTCCTTTATGGTCAACTGCTCCCTTGGGAGAAAAAGGTATGTCATTTACTACGCACATTAATAACGTTCGTAATAGTGCCGCGTTCGTCTCCGGCCGGCTTCACAATTCAACTAACGCTAGAAGTAAAATGCCCTTAAGGCACAAATTATTGTTATATAAGACCTGCGTACGACCTATTATGTCTATGCGTAAGACATGATGCATGCATGGAAAAATATTGTGTGATGAACATGGTGTTTTTCTAGTGTCTGGATGTTTCTATATGTATTTATTTACAAAAGAAAAGTATGTTTAAGTATGTTTATCAGTTTTCTAGTACCCATAGTACAAGCTTTGCTTAGTTTGGGACTAGAAAATGTTGTGTACAAATGTGTCCTAAATATATTTTATTAAAATTTTAAACGGTTCTTCGATAGAGCCGAACATCATCCCAACCCTCTGGTGGTAAGCATAGCAAATTACCAACCCGACACAAACGCGAACGTCAACAAGCTTCGCCCGCGAAACGTCCTCATCGACCCGGTCGAGGAAGAGGACTTATACGCCGGAACCGCCGCCGAGGGTCCTACCGGAAAACACTACACTCACAGTTAGTGTAACAACAATCACCCCAGTCCGCTCTCGCCTTCTAGCATGGCGAGACCAACACAACGCGTACACAAGGTACACCCGCTTTCCGGGGCGGTTCTCGCCGCTCCCAGCCACCGGTTAGCTAATTGTACAGTCGACGGCCATCGGGGTTTCAGTCCGAACCGCGAGATCGATGGCCCTTAGATGACACACCATAGTTAAACGCACCTATGGGCACATGCGGGGCCTACCCAC